CCTGTCAGCTAATTGGATTATTATCCCAGTCTCTTTCAAAGGGCCTAAGTTTAAGGAAGCATAAATGGACTTTGGCATGACATTAATTGAGGCTCCCAGGTCTAACATGGCCTTTCCAATCAAAGTATTACCTATCCTACAAGGAATTGTAAACATACCTGGATCTCCGCATTTTGGTGGAAGTTTCCTTTGTAGAATTGCTGAAACATTCTCCCCAACTATAACTCGTTCATCCCCCTTCAACCGCTTGCGGTTGGCACACAGGTCCCTCAAAAATTTTGCGTACCTGGGTACTTGTTTAATCGCATCCAGCAGGGGTATGTTGATCTCCACCTTGCGAAAGATCTCCAAGACCTCTTTTTCCTTGTCTTTCTTCTTTGGTTTCTCTAACCTGCTAGGAAAGGGAGGTGGATTAGTTTTAGTTGTAGGAATTGGGTTCGAGGGTACCTTTGCATTTTTGTTGTCTGTGCCCTCATCTTCCAATTCTTTCTCAATCCGTTCCTCGTCCTTGTCTTTAGGAATCACCGGTTCGGGTCCTTGGACTTTCTTGCCACTCCTCAAGGTCATTGCACTTACATTCTTTGGATTCACCTCAGGTTGAGATGGCAACTTCCCTTGAATTTGGGACTCCAAACGGTTGATCGTTATGGCCATTTGATTCATTTGATTTTGCAATGATTGCACCTGTCCCAGTTGATTCCTCATGCTTTGTAAGTCTGAATCCGTCTTTTGTTGGTTAACAAGTAATTGCTTCATCATTTCTTCCATGGACGGACTTGAGTTTGAAGGGGGTGGTGGTGGTGGTGGGCGAGGATGGTACTGCTGTTGGTGTCCTTGCTGTCTATTTGGCACAAAGTTAGACTGCCTATTTCCTCCATAGCTAAGGTTGGGGTGATCCCTCCAACCAGGATTGTAGGTGTTTGAGTACGGGTCGTACTGCTTTCTTGGCGCGGGCGCGTGGCCAGCCATGTTCACCTGTTCTGCAGTTTCTTCTTGAACCAGTGGACACATTTCCGTAGGATGACCCACGGCAGTGCACACCCCACACACTTTGACTTGTGAAGCACTCCCCACAGCTAATTGTCTTACGAACGATGTTAATTCGGAGATCTGCTGTTGGATAGAGGACGTTTCCACCTCATTCACCTTACGCGTCGGGATGTCCTCTCTTGAACCAAACTGCTGTGAGTTCTCAGCCATCCCTTCAATCAACTCCCATGCTCCTCGAGGGGTTTTGTTCACCAACGCCCCTCCACTTGCAGCATCGATTATGCTTCTGTCCCTGAAAAGCAACCCCTCATAGAAATATTGAATGAGCTTAAAAATATCAGAAAAATATCAGAAAAAAAAATGAACTTAAAAAGAAACAAATGATTAACGCCAGTCCCCGGCAACGGCGCCAAAAATTGACAGGTGTCGAGCCTGTGCAATAATAAATACCTACTCGAGAAAAATGAATTTTTTGTGTATAGTAGTGAGTAGGGTCGAATCCACAGGGACTGGGAAAAATTCGATTCTTTTCAAGTTCGGGACACGGGGGATTTTTATCAGAAATAAACTAAAAATAATTAAATAATTTAACCAAAAATAAATAATTAATTAATACAATTGTAAATAGCAATTAAATAAATGATAAATAAATTCTAGCCAAGGATACAACTACGCAGACACAGTCCATTCATCCGATCATTGATGCAAAGAAGGTTCACTTAATTTTATTAACAGGTTAGTTATAGTCGCCGATAAACTCTAACGACCAGCTTTTCCTTAATTTATTGATAACCAAGGTACGACCGTTGATTACCCCTAACCAGGAAATACTCCTAGGTACGACCGTAGGAATTAATTTCCTAATTGCATTAAAAACTAGAAAAGCCTAACCCAAATTAATAACACGCTACGAGGGTTATTTAAATCAGATTGCATGTCCCCCTAGTATGTGAAAATACTAGTTGTCACTAATATTAATCAACTAAACAATTACGGATTTAATTGATTAATTTGACAAGAGATTAATAAGTCAAATTGCACATCGGGCCCTTGATATCCAATTAACAAAATAATCCCATGGAAATTAAAATAGAAAACATGCAAATATTAATAAATTAAGGAACACGTAAAATTAATTAGATCTCACAGATATTTGGGACTGCGTCTTCGCGTTGATCCTTGACTAGAGGAGAAAATTAGCCACGCCTCATAAGAAAATTCCCACGCAATTTAAATGGAATCAAATACATAAATAACTAACTAAGAATTTAGGAAGAAACTTGAGTCTCGCTAAACTCTTTTAAGAAAAGTTGCACACCACACAACAAGAGAAGGAAGAACTCCTCCTCTGAAAACCAAAAACTACCTCTATCCTCCTACGGAGCTTCTCTGGAGAGAAAACTCCAAAACTAGTCTAATGTCTTATGAAAAACTATCGTCTAATGCCTTTCCCTTATTTTATTTTAGCACTAGTTTCCTAAGAGAACTAGTGACGTAGGAAGCTAAGTGGAAAAGCTCAATCATCAAAGTCAACACCTTGACTAATGAGTATATCTCCCACAATAAGAACAAACTTTCTACGTGGTCCCCACTTTGATTTCTTATTGCTAGTGGATTTCATCATATCAATTCAATTCTTCATCAGCAATTCCGTTCATCAGCAATTCCGTTGGTTTGCACAATTTGGGCTGATGGTGGAAAGCTTTTAGAAGCTTTCACGTGTGGAGAAATCTTCTCAAGAAGGTCCCCTTTTAGCACTTTTCTGCTTCACTTTCTGAAATTATATCCAAATACCAAATATAAATATATATTGACAATTAAAACAATATTTGGCAAGGATAAAGAGGAAAATTAACGATAAAATTACTAACAATTAATACCCTATCAAAAGAAAACAACATATTAAATTAGTAAATCAATTTTTACTGAAAGAAAGAGAAAAAATGTATAAAATTTCACAGAGGAACCTAAAATTGTGATCATAGTGAATTTCAAATTTTATCACTTTTCAAGAATGTAAAAATAACTTAGGTATTAATGCAAATAATTAATTAACACTTAGGAAATTTATTAGACTTCTATGAAATGAAGGGAGGAAGTAGGATAAAATTTTAAAAAATAAAAGAATAGAAATTAAAAAAGGGGAAAAATGAAAAATATGTCTTTGTAAAAAATTAGAATATAATTATTGGAGTGATTTAGATTTACCCATTAATGATCTAAACATGTCAAAATAAGTGATCTAAACATGTCAATTTAATACCCATTAATTAATGGGTTTAATTAGGTCACTCATTTATTTGTTGATGGGCGAGCCAAGTAAACAGGTTAGCGGGATAGAGCAAAGAGAAAAAAGAATTTTGGGGAATATGAAGGATTAGAGAGTTGTTTTTTTTTTTTATTGATACGATAGCTTCCTACACTATGGGGAGGAGGAGGGTTTGAAGAGGTTTTGGAGTAACTCGGAGGAGATTTAACCACCACCGGACCAGATGGGGTGCACTACGCACCTGCCTGGATTTTTTAAACAATGCCACATTTAATTGTGACAAATTGGTGGAAAACAATATTTGAACCCTTGTCTCCTACCCCACCAAGCCTTAATGCATTGATGGTAGCCACCAGCCTTTGGGCTCGTCGTTATTAGAGAGTTGTGACTTGTGAGAAAGTTGGCTAATAAGAAATGTGAGGAAAAGGATAGTGGAGAGTAAAGGGATATGGTGGAGCAAATGGTGCTAAGAGGGAGAATATGGGGGAGAGAGAGGTATTAATGTTGTTTTTTTTTTTTTTTCCTGACGGAGGGGGTATACGGGCCATCAGGTAAATCGGACCCGACTAATCCCCCACCAGCCCGGGAGGAGAGGCCCCATTCCTCCGAACACGATAACCATGTGACTCGAACCCTTGTGGGACTGGACAACGGCTCCTAAGGAGGTTTGCCGTGACCAACCGAGCTGCCCATGAGGGGCATATTAATGTTGTGTTTGGTGTGCTTTTTTTTGTGATCTTTTTTCATATTTTTTATATGCTTTAAGGTTTTAGATAAGATACATAAATAAGATATAAATTAGATAATAGTATTCTTTTAAGTTTTTAATCTTTTTTAAATGTAACTACTATAAATAATTCATTTATTATTGTTATTATCATCATCATCTTAGATATAAATCATGCATAACACGGGTCAGAATACTAGTTTTATATGTACTCTAGAAGGATATTTCGATACCTAATTCATTGAAAAAAATATTTTACTTACATTATAAATATATCTCTTAGTTATATTTTTATTTTTAAATTATCTTTTTATTTCACATAATCACATACATCTATAATGCTGTAATAAATTTTTTTTTCTCTAAGTGATGAACTATACAAACACCTTATGCTAATACAATTTGGTAATGACGAACCACTTTCCTATAAAAAGGCATGTGTCACCGATGGACGATTTGTAACCGTTGCCTATGTCAGAAACATGTTGGTGAGCGATGTATGTCCTTGCTGGGCAATTTGTAACCGCTGCTACTGATGTCAAATTTTGTGTCCTTACTGAATGATCTGTAATTGTTGGTGCCATGTGAAAACTGTGTTGGTGAGCGATCTGTATCCTCGCTAGACAAATTTGTAACTACTGATGCCGATGTCAGAATTGCATTGGTGAGCAATCTGTATAGATCCATCTATGGTCCAAGAGGTATGTATGACTCGTAAGAGTAATCGAAATCGAATCCGAATCCATCTAAAACTTTTTTTTTACCAAAAAAAATTAATAAAACAAAAGCCATGTTTTAAACTGATGTCAGAACTGCTGTGTTGATGAATATAAGTCCATATATGATCTCAGAGGTATGCCCTAACTCGCATGCGTAACAGAAATCGAATCCAAATCCCTCTAAACTTTTTTTTTTTTTTTTTAACAAATAAAAAACACAAACACATGTTTGAAAGGAAATGCGTGGAACTTGGGAGTGGAAATTAAAGAGAGAGATTGGAAATGCCCTTGGGCTTTGACTCATAAAGACTCCTCGTCACTGTGCAGCAAGTAAAGTTCCTTTCTTTCCCTCCAAGTATCCGGCTTCCCTCAGTTCTCCAGACCCACGCGAGAGATGGGCGGCCAGGATAAACCCCCAGGACCCGGACTCGAACCCGACATACAGCCATTACTGAACGCCTCCAAATACTTCCTCTGTCACCGGAACTTTTCCCAGAGCTTGAAATACGCGGACAAAGCCCAGCAATCCAATCCAAACCACCCTGGTCCGCCCCAAATCCTCGCTATATCCACTGTTCTCTCGGCGACTCCGTCCTCGACCCGACCCGAACAGCCAGAATGGTACTTAATCATCAACCTCCCTCGTTTTACTCAAGACCAGAATCTGATTCGGACCCGTTGTGCTTCGCTCGTCAACCTCTTAAACCCTGACACAAACCCTTACCCATTTGCAGCCGAAGCCCGTGATTGGGTTGTCAAAGCAGAATCTGTTTTGTCTGACCCGGACGCGAAAGCCCAGTATGATAACGGATTGAAAATGACGCAAAAAAATGTTGGAAATGGCGGCGGAACTTTTTGGACTTTGTGTCCGTACTGTTACTTTATGTATGAGTACGAGAAAATGTATGTGGATTGTGTCCTGAGGTGTCAGAATTCCAAATGCAGGAGGGCTTTCACGGCGGTGGCCGTTGCTGCTTCAGCGGCGCCGCCACCGGAGGTGCTGGAGGAAGGAAAGTATACCTGTTATGGGTTTTCGCCGCTGGGTTCTAACAATGGAAGTGGTGGTGATTCTGGTGAAGAGAGAGGGAAAAGTTGGTGGGCTCCATTTGTATCCATGGGTCAATATCCGGGTCCAGTTCGGGCCGATGAGGAAAAGGTGGATGTGAGGACTAATGTGGACTCAAGGAGTGAAAAGAGTAATGGGTTTATTGAAATTTCTGATGATGAAACTGCAGGTAAAGAGAAAATTGAAAGAGGGGGACAGGGAAACGGTGTTAACGATGGGAAGGTGGTGATGAAGAGGAAAAAAATGGCTGCTATAGGGAAGAAGAAATTGATGGGAAAAGGGATTAGAGTTGTTGGGAACCATAGTTTATCAGCGGAGGGTGGTGAAGGAATAGGATTTAAAGCTGGAGGGAACGAAGCAAATGCAAATACAAGTCCAGGGAATGAAGCAAATGCAAATACAAGTGGAGGGATAACGGAAGGCTGTAATGAGGAGGAATTGGAGTTTTGTGCTGGAGATGATGATATTTTTGTTGCTGTGAATCCTTGTGCTGATTTAGGATGTGAAAAGCTTAGGAATTGATGAGAGATGAGTTGGGGATTTTGAACTCTGTTTTTGTGCACTGTTTTTCTAGCTGGGAGCCTTGGACATGATGGTGTACTAAATGGCCAGTAAAGTTTTGTAACTGGTAGAATCATGTTGATAATCATTAGAATTGTAGACCATAGAACTGGTAGAAGTGAAGAAGTAATCCTGAATATGGTTCTTGATATCTTTGTGTGGCTGTCATGTGGATTCTTTTGCCGGTAGTATTTGATGTTTTGAAACAGTTATATGGCCAATAGTATGCTTGGTTTTATCCAAAAGTAAGTTGGAAAAAAAAAACAGAGAAAGGGATCATATGATTGGTTATCTTTTTGTTTATAGTTTGTTATTGGCATACGAGTATTAAGTCATAAGCAAGGAAGAAGATTAAAATATTCTAGGTGCTTTAATTTGATTGCTGGGTTTTGGATCTGCTCTGCTTTGCCGTCCAATTTTTCTAACATTTCCCGCCAATAATATTTCTTCAGCAATCAAATTGGGTCTGAATCTGCTCTGTTTTAAAGTCCAATTTTTCTTCTATTTCCTGTCAATTTTTATACTATTCTAGCTGCTTTAGTTAGATTGCTGGGTTTTGATCTGCTCTGCTTTAGTGTCTAATTTTCTGACGTTTCCTGTCAATATTTTAGATTTTCTTTACCTTTGCCTTTTTCTTTGCTGGATTGCATTGTTTATGTTTCTGGTCTTCCTTTTAGTGCTGATGCTGAGGATCTTTAATGTCTGAAAAATCTGAGCCTAAATTTCTCTAACTTGGACAAGTCTGAATGTTGGTGTAGCTGTATATCTAGGATGGTAAATTGATGGGGATTTGACTTGTCAAGTTGAGAAAAGGGGGTTTTTTTGGGGGGGAAAGAAAATGAAGCTGAAGTTGATGAGGACATGAACTCTTCATGTCGAGTATTTACATTATACTTGAATTTTGGTTCTGTCCTGAGGTTTGGTGCATTCTCCTTGATTCTAATAAATTGGTGGTGGCTCATCTATCTTCTTCTACTTCTTGTTGGAAGGTCCATTGTAACTTTTTGGTAATTTGGGTTCGGATTGCATCAAGAGATATCCTGCAATATTGGGTTATCTTTTAATGAGATACTGGGATAATATAATGGACTAGTTCAGCTCTGAGAAGCTAGTTTTTAAAGACTCAGATCAACAATGGGAAATTATGTGTTATGTTTATTTGATTAGGGTGACACACTGGTACTAGGAAGCAATAAAGAAGTTATTACCTCTTTGAAAATGTTGTGTGTGTATAAATCAAGAAGCGACTGTGTTAATTTGTTGAAAAATAAGAACCACTAAAAGTATGCAGAAATCTAGTAATCAAGCATCGGTAGTCCTGTCCTGTGGCCCTCTTTCTTTTCTGTCTCTTTAGCATCAAGTAGAATAAGAGAATTGGAATGATATATAAGTGGGAGAACAGGGGCAGACATCCCTACAAGGGCCTGTCCGGACTAATCTAGGATGTCTACCTAATTTTATCTTCCAGTTTAGCCCCCTGTGACTGGATGGTCTTTTACCTATATTGACTGCTATTAACAAGTCTGAAGAGAGATTGTGTTATATCATGTGGGTGCGTTTGCATATTGAGCATTTAGCTTCCCTGCGAATGCTTTTTCTTTTTATTTTAATTGTGTTTTCAACGAGAATAGATTTTGCTTCTTCTTGATTTGCTTGTGTCTTGCGTGTTCTGCTTTATTCTGCTTAGATATCACAGTTGAACTGCATATCTTCTGATGCATGTCGTCATGTCATTCTTCGCCTAAATTGTGCTGAGAATAGGAATGAGAAGAAAAAAATCTCTAAACTACCTAGGTGCAGAGAAACAGCTTCATAGGCTTAAAGCCGCTCCCACAGGTTCTGGTTCTGCATTTTCTTGCCTCACCAACTCTCTCCCTCTCTCTTGCTTAGTTGCTTTTGATTTTTCTGATGTTTCTTCCATTTGATAATGTATGATCAGATAGAGCGTGATCTCTTTTAGGCCGCGTACGAGTTCATACTTTGAGATGGATGAGGAACTAGCTTGTTGCAGGTTGATTGAGTTTATATATTAGATTAATTAAGACTGCTTAAGAAAAAGATTGATGTTAACTTCGATCAGGCTCAACTAAAAACAGTTTTTCAGTGTGAAGAAAGATGCTTCTTTCTTTAAGGTGTCATCCAATGGCTGTACTAACAACTTTTTGGAAGCAGATTTTAACTTGAAAGTCGAGACCCCTAACTTTTATCCATCTGGGATTCCTGATGGGCCAATTTTACACATGTTCGATTGCCCTGTGCATGTATTATTGTTTCCCAAGCTATAAGGAAGAAAACAGAACTTTTTGTTACAAGCAGCTTCATGGGATATCTTTAACAGCAAAAGAATTAGTCTTGTGGAATGGTTTATTCAGTCATCTCCCTCTTTTTGTGGTGGGGGAAATGTGGGGTTTTCTTTCTGGTTGCATATTATTTAACAAATCAAGTCAAGCTTGCGAAGTGGAACGAAGAAGATTTAAGTTGATTTTTTGCACAATTCGTTGAAGGTGCAAAGATGCAAAATAGAACATAGAGGAGACATTAAATTTGGCCGAGAGCGGAAAATCAAGATAACAAAAAGAAACTTGAACGTGCCAGGAAAAAAAAATCACACTACTGCCTTTTGTTCTGCTCTTTGGCTTACTTTTGAATCAAACTGATCATTTTTGTCAAAGCTGAGGACTAAAGAACTTCAATTCTCTCAAGTTGGGTTTTCTTTTCACACCCACGTGGGCAAAGACACTCAATTCCTTGCCTCTCCTCAGTCCTCCCCCAATCCCACACGAATACAAAAGAATTTCACACCAAATATGCATACAAGGATAACTTCCAAAACCCAAAAAAAAAAAAAAAAAAAAACACACGCACACACACACACAAGGATAGTTGCCTATACAGGGGATTTTTCACATTTTGTCACTAAGTTGTTGGGCATAGAAATCCCTCCTTGGAAGTTTATCCATGGCAACCGACCATCTCTGAGAGTTTACGGGCCTATTTGGTAAATAAGTTTTTGATCAAGTTCGTCTGCCACAAGTTTTTTAACAACTTTAGCTATAGTAATCTCAAGAAATTTCTTAAAAATTTTAAACTATATATTTCAAAATATCTAAAAATTTATACATTTCAAAAATTTTACAAATAACTCCTATCGTAAATTACAGTAAAATTTTAGACAAACACCCAAAAAATTTATTTGACAAACGGCTTGGTTTCAAAGTTGTTGCCAACCTTTGCATCTTTTAAGTCGAAAAGTGAAAAAGGCAAAGCAAAGCAAAGATCCAAACTGTAGATGCTGGATAAAGAGGACACCCTATGTTTCTTCATACCGTGAACTTAGTGAGGTGACCGTCCCAGCTGTATTTGATTGAATTCAACTTTTCATCCATTGTGAATGGGATCTTTTTCCATTCCATTTCAATCTGTCTGAAACCCAAATGATTTTGCATTGTTTTGCTAATACACGTATTTCTTGGTCCTGTTTATCCTAGGACTATTTTGCATATGCTGATTTTCACGGACACCTATTTGACATAGAAAAAGCAGTTTAAACTGGAGCAATCTTGATTTTCATGCTTGCTTAATTTAAGCCTTAAAGCTTCAAACGTCATCAATGATATAAATGTGATTGGAATCTTTTAAGAGAAAGGGTAACTATTTTTTTGTCTGTAACGATACATATGTATAACCTACTCTATCCTAATATAGGATAACTTGATATTGTGTTCTTTGTTACAAGGTACAAAAGCATCCTACCACCAACCTCCATACTTTTAGCACAAAGGGAACTGATTAAAGCACAACTAAAAGAAAAGAAATTAGAAACTTTTTTTATCAAGAACAGAACAGTTTGCTGATTGGTCTGTGTTAGAGGCTAACGGTTACAGGAAAAACAAGCCAGCGGTCCTTGTTGCGGAGAACAAGTTTGAGGTCAAAGAGGGGACTGTGGGGCTCTGAAGTTGCAGGTGTGTGGGAACAAATGGACAAACAGCAAGGCTGCCTCTGCCTTTTCTTTCTTGGGACCCCAAAAATAAAATTCTTCTGCTGCATGCCAATGCCGTAATCAACTGCGCCGGAAAATCATTGCTCTTTTGAACTTCTCCATTAGAATTCACTGGCCAAACCAAAAGCACATCTTGTGATAAATATTCTCCCTGCGCTTCTCACCTTTTTGTTCCTGTGTTTTGTTCATATCCCAATAATGTCAAACGCAGCGTTATACGTTATGAATTCTATACTTCATGTAGGGGAAAAAAAAATTGTACTAGTATCACTTGGTTATCATACATGCACCTTTTGATTCTCTATTGCTAGAACTCGTGCAGAAGCAGATCTCCTCCATTCGATTTGTCAATTTTGATAAACGTATTTTAATTGAAATATATTTTTGATAATTTTTCTATCTAGTCTAGAAGTTTGCTATTACAATTTTCAAAGTTTCTTTGCATGTATTCCTGTCTGCCATAAGATCTAACAAGAAGTCAAGAACTCAATGACGGGTGAATGTTGTAATGATTATTTCTTTTGTATGACAAGCACACTACTGTAATTTTTAGAGTTGTAGACATTTATAAAATATTAGTGGTGTTCTAACATAAATGAATCTCTCAATATAATCCTGTTCTTATTCCAAAATTTTAGATACATTCACTCCTAAAAAGAGAATACTCTCATGATTTTTCGTTTATGTTGTGTAAGTGAAATTGAAATTCACAGCGCTGTGACTGTTTGTCCAAATTAAGGGCATAGCTACAACCATTAAGAGGTCAAGGGATCTTTTCAAAGAGGGATCATAGTTTGGGGGCTTAAGTGAATATACCGAAAAGTGAAAAGTACAAATAGCCTGATTTTATTAGTGAACCTTTGCCTTACAGTCACACCGCATCCTTACTAACAAGTCCAACTAGACATACTAAAAGCATCACTCATTTTCACTTCAAATTGGCTGATGTCCTGATGAAGATAGAGCAATCTTGGCATCCAACTCTTACGAAAACAATCCTTTTGTCTTGGTAACAGGAGAAATCATCTCTGGGATTTTTGTGCGATATTTCAGATTTACAGAATCTTCAAACTCAGAGGCGTACCAGAAGAAGCAGGTTGGATTCTAACTATAAATGCTTCACCTTGATTACGTTGCAATTTTCCTCAATCATTTTCACTTCTACTAGTTCCCGTGGAAACATATGCCTTAAACGCCAAGATTCTTCTTTTTTCTTGTGCTTCTTTGTTGTTTTTACCGAGATGGATTATTCATTTGTCTACTTTTGATGCCTCACTTC